CAATTTGCTGTGTTTAATCATACAGTTTCACATTCCTCACAATCTTTTCTTTGCAACTTCCAAACTAGTATTTCTACTGGATATGTACACTTAAGTTTTTTAATTTTCTAATAAGCCTTATAAGTAAAGATAAGAATTTAGGGTTTCAATGGTATAATAAATATTAAAGTAGGTTCTCTACTTCCAATTTTAAAAGATCTGCTAGAATTTTGATGTGATTAAGTTACTCAACTACCAGAAAGAGCACGATCTCAGAATATATAGTTGTACTGTTTTTGTTACCTATCGCCAAACTGAAACTAATTCACAGCTAACCCCTCCCTGAGGTTTCAGGAGCTGTAAATTGTATGGGAGGAGACTGCACATTTTTCTCCTGCAGAGCCAAAGGTGGATTCAGACCACTTCCTTTATGTGGACAGTACAACTCCTTACCACTTACAAAAGGTAAATTATGGGGACAAAAAATAGGTAATGTAAGAGTTGATTAAAATAACCAATATGGGAATTGCTGTGAGGGAATTTCTTACGGCAATGGATTTTAATGGTGATCATAAAACTATGCATTTATAAAACCTCACAAAACAGTACACTAAAAAAAGGTGATTTTATTGTAAGTAAAAAAAAATACCTTGGTGTTAAAAAATGAACTACAATTGTAAACAAAAATAAAAAATGAATCCCACAATATAATATTAGTAAAAGAAGTAAACAAAACAAATATAGTATTGAGTCCACTTAATAAAATTTTAAAAATTAACCATCGCCTTTAAAGATAAATATTTAGGTAAAAAGCAAGAAAGTAAATTCTATAAAAGTATTGAGTAGTAGTTAACTCTGATGTGGAAGGAGAGAGTAAAGGCTAAAAGTAACATAAATAAATACTAATATAATAGCCTTGTTCTATTTTCCCCCCAGTTGTTAATATGAGAGTTTGCCTGTGTTCATTCACTGAGTTATCAAGTCTATTTTGCATCACTTTCTGAATACATGATTAAAAACTGGCCAACATTTAAAGAAAGGAAGCCAAGTAGCTCAAAGTAACTTATGAAAGGATAAAATAAGAACAGAATTACATTATAGTAGTCCCTATTTTAAAAAAAACAAAACACCCACATTTCTTTTCTGGGTTTTTTTTCTTTGAGACACTTCACATTACATAATAATTCAGACAAGATACATGATATAAAATGTTAAACAAATAGGGCATAAAGATTCAGAAACAAGAATAGCACTGTCAAAACAAACTTCAAAGCAAAGAGGTTAAATTTGACCAGCACCATTGCTGTTCTTAGTGCCCGTGAGCAGGCACCGATTCACAGTGACCCGAAGTCAAAAGAACAAAATTATGTGCCATCTTTGATTTTTTTTGTGTCATCATCATAATCTCTGCTGTGCTCACACCCATGGTAGCTGTCACTGGGTTAATCCACAGCCTTGAAAATCTTCCTCCCTCTTGCCAACCATCCTCTAGTCTAAGCATGAAATCTTTTTCCAAGGACTGTCCCCTCTTGATAACATGCCCAAAGTATGTTACACTAAATTCCACCATTTTTCTAAGGTCCACTCTGACTGTACCTCTTCCAAAATAGATTTGTTCTTTTGGTAGTTCAAGTAATATATTCAATTACTCTTTACCAAATAATTTCTTTGCCAAAGTAACAAATACACTGGTTTTGGCTTTTCATTTTAACCCAAGATTTTTTTGGGGGAAAAACACAGGCATTCTAGCCTACATTTTCTTTGTTTTCTTGGGCTATCTGGACCCTTCAAGAATGCCGTCATGTACCACCTGATATATCTGTGGTATCAAGTCCTATAAAGCTTATTTTATTAAAAATTGAAGGTACGTATATAATGGTTTGTAGTAATAAACAAGTTCTATTTAGAAATGCAAATTAAAGTATTATTTTTCGAGTATCATTAAGATGTTTCAATATATCTAGAAGTGTTTCTTCAATGCTTTTTATGCACAGAAAAAGCACACTTTGTATTATGCTAAGACAAACATTTGACTGAGTGCTGTTTAATATGAACCATACCTAACTGTATAAACTTACACACTAGTTATACATGAAGACAGACTTAGGAATGAAACTTGTTTGTAACCTAAGTGTCTGCACAAGACCTAAATCATTAAACATCTTATTTCACAGAACATATCACGGGCACACAATGATACATGATGACAAACTATTCTTTAAATAAACTTCTGGTTGTCATTTATCTTTTATAAAAATCATACCTACATACAATAATATTTCTACCATCCATGTAAAAGCTCTTGAAGCATGTAGAGAACTTACTTTTCATTAATTAACTGCATAATAGTCTAGCAATAAATATGAAATCATCTTGTAGATAGGAAAAGTCTTTAAAAGTACTATAAACACTAGGGGGTGCTCTAATTCAACATTAGCTGATAACTAACTTTGATACTTAATTTTCTCCTCAATTAAAGATAAATTAAGAAAGTCTTCAGAATCAATAATCTTCACTTTCACACAAATACAGAGAGAAAATTTAGGTAACAAAAGTTCACTCTTAAGAGCACAGAACAAAGCTCAGCAGAATTTTACTGAATTAACAAAGCCAGGGTGCTATTGTTAGGTGCCTTCAGGTCCACTATGATTGAGAACAAACCTAGAAATGACTGATCACAATTTTGCCCTATCTGCTGTCCTCCTGGTCTCTGGTGTGCTTGAGCTCACTGCCACAGTCACTATGTCAAACCATCCTGTTTAGGGTCTTCTTTTTCTCCGACCCTTCTGCCTTTGCTAGCATGATGTCTTTTCCCAAATACCGCCCCCTCTAATGACAAAGCAAAGTATTATTAACAAAATGAACAGAGTTGGAGTCAGAACACAAGAAGGGAAAACATGCTTGTAGTTTGAACTGAAGAATAAATTCAAGCTTTGATTTTCAATATGGAAAAATTCTAAGGACAAAATATTGAACTCAGATCATTGTTATTGTTAGGGGCTGTCAAGTCAACTATAATTTACTGTGACCCCACAAACAGTAATTCTTAGCCCTACTCAATCCTGCCCTATCCTCATCATCTATGTTCCACTTCAGTCCATTTTTATAGTCACTGTGTTGATCCATTTTGTTGAGGGCCTTCCCCTCCTTCGCTGACCCTGAGCCTTTCCAAGCATGATGTTCTTCTCTAAGGAATGGTCCTCCTAACAACATGTCCATGTCCAAAGTACGTAAGACAAAGTTTCACTTTAGTAGCTTCTGAGGAGCGCCCTGGTTCTACCTTCTCCAAGACATACTTGTTTGTCCTTTTAGTAGTCCATAGGACATTAAATACATCTTCTCCAACACAACTCAAAGACATTCTTCTGTCATCCTTAGTCATGGTCCAACTTTCAGAGGATCGGATAGCAAGTAATTGAAAAGAACATGGTTTAGATCAGGTAAACTTTATAAACTCACATGGTTGTGCTTCAGCACTTTTGAGGAGTCCCAGACAGATTTTTCCAACGCAAGACACCTTTTGATTTCCTGACTGCTGGTACAAAGAGTGCTGATTGTGGATTCAAGTAAGACGAAAACATTGATAATTTTTTATCCCTTCTCCATCCATGAAAATGTTTTCTATTGGCCCAGTGGAGAGGAGTTTTATTTTCAGATACTTGACATATAATCCATATTGCAGGCTGCAGTCTTTGATCTTCTGCAGTAAGTGCTTCAAGTCCTCTTCATTTTTAGCAAACAAGGTTAGTCTCTGCATAAAGCAGGCTGTTGATGAGTTCTCCTTCAATCTTCCTTCATAAGGAACATTTAACATGTGAGCATTGTATCGCAGTCTGGTATGTATTTGGTGTATTACCATTCTTGTGGAACTCACTTCCTCCTTTTGTTTTTTCTGCCTTGTATCTGTCTAAGGACTTTTGCTGTTGCTGTTAGGTGTGACTGAGGCACTTCTGACTCACTGCAACTCCATCTACACCACAATGAAATCGATCCTGATCCTTCCAAATCTCTGCTGAACTGAACCATATGTTGCAGGCAGTCTATTAGTCCATCTTTCTGAGGGTCTTCTTCCCCTCACTGATCCTTCATTTTTCTAAACATGATGTCCTTTTTGAAGCACCGGTCTGTCATGAAAATATATCCAAAGGATGTGAAATAAAGTCTGGCCATACTTGCCCCTAAGGAGTTCTATGACTATACTTCCTCCAAGATGATTTTGTCTGTTCTTCTGATTATCCATGGTGTACTAGATACTCTGAATCAACACAATTCAAAGGCATTGCTTCTTCTCTGGTCTTCTTTATTCATCAACTAAATTTCAACTGAAAAGATAATGGTCTAGGTCAAGAATAATTTAAGTCTTTAAAGAACTCCGTGTGTGTGTTTTAGTGTGTTTGAAAAGTCTTTGGCATAGGATTTGTCCAATGTTATATGTTGTTTTCTTTCTTGACTGTTTTCCATGCGTGGATCTAAATGAAAACAAAATCCTTAACAACTTCGATCTTTTTTTTTTCTTTATCATGTTGCTGATCCGGTTGGAATGACCTTTAAATATCTAACTTTGAGCTTCCCTATTCAAATTTTCACTACTTAATATTATCTACTGTAAAAGGTAAACAGCGCACATATTTATATTAAAGAGTAATGGTGGAGTGAAATGCTCACATATTTGCACTTTCATCAAGATTTTTCTGAACCAACACTGACAGAGAAGCATCACTTTGCTTTAGCTGGTTATGAAGATAGTTTTAGGTCTTTTTAGCCAGTCTTAAATCTTACCATTAAAAATGCTGTATTCTGGAATGTCAATATGATTATAATCATTAGCTTATTAATTACTAATAACTAGAGGTTGGGCCCGTATATCTGAAAAGCATCGAGTTTACACAAAATGTTGATTGGACAGAAATATGTTTACTTATAAACACCAACTTTCAACTCTTAATATTAGGCTTCATCAAATTTTTACAAATTGTGAGAAGAGAATTTCTATATATTCATTGACAATTTAAGATGAATACCTCTTTTCCATGATTTCTGAATCACGCTGCAAACTAATAGTCTCTGTTGTAATTTCCACTTTCCGTACACTTCCAAAGAAATCAGTTATCAGGACGTTTTTAGGATCTCTCTGAAAAAGGTCAGTGCGATGTCCAGGAGTAGACACACAAAGACTTTTGGGACATACCTGAAACTGATAAAGAAAAATATATACATAAATAATAGAAACAAACACCTCGATATGTTAAACAATCACATAACACAGTAGACTGTTGTGTATTTTTCAAGTTCTCTTAATTTAAAAAGCTAATGGTTCTAAAAATTAACATTTTATTGCCATTGTAATGCTTGACATTCTTTGAAAGCTATGCAGACATCACAATGGTGGTAAAACAGAAGCTGGTCATGGAGAGCAAAACATTCACTTTTTAAAATAATATGTTACTATAGATCATTTTTATAGATTATGCTAACACACACACACACACACACACACATACTCTTTAATCCCATGTGAAATCACACTTAATGCCAACAGAACTGTCTTTGATTCCTATCTATATCCATCTATTCCCCTGGTCCAGCAACTTTGTAATCACAGTCTATCACTTAAACTTTTCCTTTACATAAAAAATTACGTAGTTCAATATGTTTGAAAACAGTGAAAGTAAACAATTCATGGTGCATGAACACTACACATATTGCTATAATCAAGGATGCTTTCGGCAGAATGTTAAATGATCCAGGAAGTATTAAAAGAATATGGAAAGAATATACTAACTCACTGTATCTAAAGGAATTGGCAGACACAGAAGATTTTCATGAAACAACATATGAGCAAGAGCCTATGGTGATGAAAGAACTTGTTCAGGCTGCTTTGAAGGAAATGGTAAAAAATAAGGCCCCAGGAATAGATGGTATACCAATTGACATATTTCAGTTAACAGATGCTGCTCTGGACGTGCTTATCAAGTTGTGCCAAGAAATCTGGAGAACAACCACTTGGCCAACTAACTGGAAGAGATCTATATCTGTACCCATCCCAAAGAAAGGTAATCCAACAGAGTGTGGAAACTATAGAACAAT